TCTCCATTTTCTATTGACGTGGATGTGCATGAGGCCCACACACAATAACAGGTAAGACTTAAACCATATCATTTAGTGCTAATATGCCCATAATCTCTTTTTTCATGAGCATTGGGCACCCTAAAGTCTTTTTCTAGAAGCATTAAGTACCTTGAAATCTTATTAAAATAAAATTTAATAAATATTGCCAAAATATTAAATATTTTTATATTTAATAATTTAAATACTCTTACTTATAAATAATCATTCAAAATTTATAAATTATTTTTTAAATATTAACAACTCAAAGTAGTATTTTTTAGATTTATAAATGACTTCTTATTTTTTATATATTGATCTTCAATATTCTTTTAAGGAAGTACCCAAATCGTTATGCTTTTTGGGCGTTTTAGGACTTACTTATATTTTTAATATTTGTTAAGTTTATTAAATTTTTAAGTCATTTTATGTAATTTTTTTGTTTAGTTAACGATCTTCCTCAATAATATTACACTATCAAAATTTAATACTATCTATATGTTGCAGTGTTAGGAATAAAATGAAAAACATAACAAATCACAACCAACAATATGCGAACAAAGATGTTTACTTGAAATATATCACTTATTCTGTTAATGTGCTACAAAAGAGTTACTCAATAAGAGAAAAATAAAATATAAGGAAAAAAATTCTTCATCAATTTGGAAGTTTATTCCCTTTGTTTTTAATATAAAATTGTAAAATATAAAAATATTAAAATATTAAATTGGGTGGTGTAATGTTTTAAATAATAATATTTAAATTATTAAATATTAAAATATTTAATATTTTAATAATATTTATTAAATTTTATTTTAATAAAACTTTAGGGTGCCCAACATTTCTGAAAAAAAATTTAAGGACAAATTAATATCAAAAGATATAATTGTAGTTTTACATGTCACTATGTGTGGGCTCCATGCACGTGCCATGTTAACAGAAAATGAAAAACTTATTGGTTGACTAACAGAAGGGATTTTTGTTCCTTAAAAAAATAGTTCAAGAATAAAATTACCTCACTTAATAGTATAAGGCTAGTACCAACCCTCTTGAAAAATAAATACATGAGCAAAATTGGACCTTAACTATAGAAAAAAAAAAAAAGATGAAGACATTCGTTATTTCCAATAAAACAAACAAAGTCACTAAGAAAAGACTTTATTATAGTACAGGTTACGTATAACACAACAATAAGGATCCACGAATGAGCATAAGCCTGAGTAAATGGTAAGGGTAGAGATTCTGAAGAAATTACGGGAAAAAAAGAAGAAGCTACAAATAATTAATTAATCAATGCAAATGATATATATACTTACATGGCTGTAAAGGGATTTTTTTTTTTAAGGAAAGGACAAACATATGGGGGGTGTCCTTTAGATTATAGGGAGAGGTCACATTATTATCAAATGTCAATTATTTAGAGACGTGAAACATGAAGTTCCAGAACATGAAACAAAACAATATTCAAAAAGAGAAGTATTGGTCACAACATAATGCAAGGAGGTAGACAAGATTCCAACTCATCGCTAAAGATTGGAAAGAAAAGCGGAAAAGGTTGAGAGAGGACATCCTAAGCACTATGCTGTCCAGTGCTTCTTGTTTAGCCACCTTTATTTTCTGCTTTTTAGAACGTGCTTGGAATCATCACTCAAAAAGATTATTGATTACTTAATCAAATTCTTCATCTTCTTCTCTTTTCCTCTCACTTTTTTTTCATTTTAAAAAAATTTAGTGGATTAAATTTTAAAAACTTACTAAGATTAAGATATGCCAAGCTCAAAGAATATTTAGAGGTTTTTATAAACTACTCACCAATAAAATTCTCACATCAATATCAGAATTTAATTATATAATTTTTATAAGTTATGAGTCAATTAAATTTTTATTAATTGTATCAATCTTTATTAGCTTCCCCCTCTTTTAAATAACATGTTTCAATCCAACATGCACGCTCTTTCTCCAGCTCCTTCCTTTTCGGCCCACTCGGGAAAATGCTACTTTTCTGTGTTTTGTTTACTAACGACATGTTCTTAATAACGATTTTCTGGCCCAGCCTTTGGAATATTCCTAAAACCTTTTTTCTTTTGTCCTCTCTCCGCATGCATGATAAATACTCTTATATAAGTTATTTTTTAAAAATATAATCTGGTTCATTTTATAAGTCATTTGTTGATGGGATTGTTTTGTTTTAAATTAAAATTTCTAAATTATCCTTAAAAAGTAAGAGAGAAAAAGACAAAAAAATAATATTATATGATTGACTTACTTTTTATTTTTTTTTGAGGGTTATATTTAGAATTTCACTTACTTTTATTCCTTATACTTTTATTGTACTGGTATTGATTGAGGTTGGTAGAAATAACTTATAAATAGGATTAGAGAGTGTATAGGGAAAATTTGAGTGAGTATCCCTTAACTAGACTTGATTTTAATTAAAGCTTCTAAAATTATGAAATTTCACTGTATATGTGAAGAACTAAAATAAAATTTAAGAGCTGACTATAATGATTTTATTGTCCCTAATGAAGTTAGGCCATGAACGATTGGTGTAGGGAAATTAATAATTGATATATGAAAAATGAATAACTGATATAAGTGAAATTTATAATTTTCATTCACAGTATAACACCACTAGGAATATAAATAAGTAAAATTAGGTGCATGAACCAATGATGTATAGAAAATGAATAACTGATATAGGTGGAATGAGAGTTGCAAATTTATAGTAGTATTATGCTATTAATAAGAGTTGTAAATTTTACTTATGTCAATTGTTTATTTCCCATATGACAATTGTTAATTTCTCTATATGAGTTGTTCATGCTCTTAATTTTACTAAGGACAATAAGATCACTTTAGTCAGCTCTTTAATATCAGTTAGTTCCTTGCATGTAGAGTGAAATTTTAAAATTTTAAAGGTTCTGACTGAAATTAAATTAGATCAAAGAGTCCTCACTAAAATTTTCCCCACACATATGTATAAGTGATTTTCCCACATATACAAGTAAGATTACTTGGTCATTATAACAGTATTTTCTGCATTTTTCTTGAGAATGGGAACTCAATCACAAACCAAACTTCTTGAAATAAAAGCAAGAGCAACACACATAAACGTACTTACTTTATTTAAAAATATAAGACATTTTTAATTGAATCTCACTCTTTAATAAAGTAGTTATCTACTTTCCAACTAATCTTATCTTTTTATATTTATTCCTATTAAACACTATATAATAAATATAAAGTCATTATTAATAAGGATACTTTAAAAAAAAGATAATAATTATATTTTAAAAAATTAAAAACACTTTATATTTTTAAATATTTAACTTTTTAAAAAATATTTTAATGAAGGAGTATATTATTTCTAATGAGAACACAAATAAAATGAAGTGATATGTAATAGTAATGAATCAAGAGCAAATTAAATGCTACCACCCCTACACGGCCACTTGCAACAGAGACGTGTCTATAGTACTTGCTATTCATTCGACGAGTACGACAAAACCCTCCCATTTATTGCTTTTTTCTTTCTTCTTCCTCAACCCTTCCCATTCTTGTTTCTTCCCGGCGTCCCTCTACATTTGCAACACACGACTTTTCCTTTTTTTTTTTTTGTTTGCCTTGAAATTTGAAAAATATTGTCATAAATTTCGTCTTTTACACTTGTTTTATGCCAGCCTTGTAGCGTGTAACAACACGTTCAACATCATTTTTATATATTAATTAATTTCCACATTGTCCTGTTGTTCCTTTCCTATATATCCGGCATGTTCTTATATTGTGCGTGCGTGCGAGCGTTGTGCCCTTGATTTGGTCTTGAAGGAAACAGTTGGCATAGAAGAGCAAGGTCCCATCGAAAAAGGAACAGTCGTCCATCAAACAACTTAATGGTCTTAACTACGTTCTCATCTAATCCACAGCGATATTTCGTATCCCCATTATTATGTATTCTGCCATAGATTCAAATTTTAAGCACAACCCCCAACTAAACGTCTTTCAACAAACCCAGAATCATCATGCCATTCTCTCGGCACTGAATTCCACTCAGATACTGATTACAGTTGTGGCTCTTTTCGCTTGTGACAGTACTGAATTAATGCATATTTGTGTACTTCAACTTGCAGATCGCATAGCTGTGCCGCTAAAGACATCAACACGAAAATAGGAATGCTTTTACCAGCAGATGAGGTCATTAATTTGATTCTGATGTTATAGAGCAGTATATTCATAGGACCAGGGAGATTATTAATAGTTTCTAATTCAATTGTTGCACAGTATATTCGTAATACAACCACTTTTGGAGTTTGGTACATAAATGCAATTTTCAGTCTTCAGATTCTATGAAAAATTCTCGACATTCATCGCATGTTTTGGTTTATTGTGATTTCTCACATCTTTTCAAGCAAGTTGTATACTCATCATCCAAGAGAAAACCAAATGCAACTCGTTTCGTTTTCTTGCAGCCCAAATGTTTCTCTAGGACCCATGCACCAACATTGAAGGCCCAATGAAGGAAGAAGTGAGAATTCAATTAAGCTCAGGCCTTTTCTTGTCTTTAGGGGTAATGATACAGGCCAGGCGCCCGTATTTTCATAAACGAGCTGGGGCCCCTCACAGACAGACAAACAGACAGCCACACATGACATGCGAGAAGGTGGAGAAGTATTGGATACACAAAAAATCATTTCAGTTTTTCCTTGCAGCTCACATCACACACTCGGCCTATCCTTCCAGATCTTAACGTTTTATCTTTTCAAGAATGATTCATCGATTTGTGGATTCTTTTCTTTCTTTTTTAAAGAAACAAGAGGTCCTTTCACATCCACTAAGTCAAATATTACCAAAGTAGGAAATAGAATAGTTGTAGGATATTATTGTATTGACGACCTGAAAAGCTTTAATGGGCAATTCTCAATTAGTCAATTCTTTATTTCCTTTCTTTTCTTCTTCCTGTCAATCTATGAGTTGCTTCAAGTCAATCAAGAACAGAAGTAAAATCCTATTCATGAATTTCAATGCTCTCAGAATCTTTTCTGTGACTTCCATATACAGATTGATGTTAATGTAACTACAGAAATCAGTAAATACATGGAAATTCATTATTACTACTACCTCCTCCAATGGATCATCCCTTCACAAGCTAGTGTTCCTTCGAGGTCTCCAATAATTCTGGCTGTCCGAACTTCTAGACCTCTCTGAACTTCCAGAAACATATTTCTTATACTATCAGCAAAGCGCTTCATGTCAATACCTGCACTTTTCTCCATCTCTTCAGCCACCCCAACAAATCCTGACACAATCTTGGACTGAATTTCCATCAGTTTCTGTCCTGTTGCAACTATATACCTCTGTAGTTGGAATGTTTCTTCTAGAAAGTGTCCCAGTTTATCTGTTTCCTCCTTTGTTCTTGCAGTTTTTAAACCCCCGTTGTTTGCATAGAGCTCATTCTCATGCTGAAATGGTGTACAAGATGAGAGAACATGTTGACGGATCAAACGGTTAAGAACAATTATAATGTCAAGGCTAATCATAGCAATAGCTAGCTAAACTTGGAAGTTTAAATTATTAAATGAAGGCTCAGCGATTCTTTTTGAAAAAATAATCTCTACCAAATGAACTAGAGGTAGAATCGATGATTACCATGCGTTTACAGAGATCATCGGTCTTCTCTTGAAGTGATTGGTACCTTCCAGCTTGTTTAATGAGCAGAGATGTCAAAGAATAATAAGCCTTCATACCAGCTTTGCCACCACTAGCTTCTGCATCTTCATCATTGGCTTGCTTTCCTGTCAACCTTTCAACAAGAACAAGTTGCTGTTTCAGCCTCTTGATTTTGTATGAAACTCCAAGAGCATGGAGATCCATCTTCCAGGGAGAAGAATTCTTCGTGTTACTGCCTGATGCTACATTTGCAGCAGTATCAACAACATCGGCTTGACTTGGCTATGATTACTTAGAGGACTATCCTCTTTAGGAACAACATCGCTTTCTTCTTCAAAATTACCTTCTGGGGGTTGAACTACTAATGGCAAGGCTTGTTTATCTTTTGCACAATCTTCCTCTATCACAATTTCCTTTATTTCTTGCTCCTTTTCACCTGGTTTTCTCTTGACCACCTTGACTTTGGACCAAATGGGATGATGATCCTGGGTTAGCTCTGGAGATTGTGAAGGTAAATGCAAGCTGTTTCTATGGCAGTTTAATGACTTCAATTGTGATGAGAATTGCTCTTTCAGGGATGTAAGCTCTTCTTCTCTCTCTAATAGGAAGCTCTCCAGTTTCATTTTGTCATGCCTGAGTTGTGTGACATCTTTGATCAGTCCCTCCATATGTGACTGAAGCTGCTTTGATTCCAATTCCATTCTCAGCAACTGCCATCGAAATGCTTCAAGCTTCTCATCTTTGAGTCTCATTTGTTCTGCAAAAGCATCAAGCTCTATGTGATGCCTTTGCTCAATCATACTAGCGTATTTTTCTGCCTCAGCTCGTACCCACTCTTCCAAACGCTTACCATTACCACCAATGGCTAGATACGGAAAAAAGGGGGAAATAATTATTGAATTTTGTAGATTAACAGCAAACAAATAAAGATACTTCAGAATTTGAAAGATGTATTCTTACCCAACTCTTCATTTCTTTCTGGTCGGTATTGATCAGAAAGGGGAGAAAATTTGTGTGTGTCCCTAGCAACATGTGAAGACCCTGTAGAACCTGGGAAGACATCAACTCTCGAGCCAATCTTACCCAACATGCTTTTTAGAGAATGTCTGTCGCGTTTTCCCTCTGATACTGCCCTCCATTGTTCTGTCTCTTGTTCAGCTTGCTTCCTCCTTGCCTTGGATAACTTAACCTCCTTCAGAAGCATCTGCTTTTCTGCAGTATCCAGCTTAGATTTCCTCAACATAGCAGACAAAATCTTATCTTTCTGTTCAAAATCCTTACGTAACTTCGCAGTCTCCATAGACAATTTCTGAGCCAGCAACTCTGATTCCTCTTTCTGCTCTATCACTGAACCAAGCTCTTGTTTTGTCGCTTCCACTTGCTTAGCCGCTCTGCCCAGTTCAGCCTCGAGCTGCCTCTGGTTTGATACAAGCTCAATGAAAGCAGTTTTGTGCTTCCTGAGCTCAGAAGAATGTTCTTGAGCATCACGGTTGGCTAATTCTCTCAATTCTTCCTTATCCCTTTCTGCTTTTGTCAGCTTCTCTTCTATCTCTTTCCTCTTCTGCTCCTCTTCTTTCAAAGCCTTATCCTTAGAGTCGAGCAAACCCTCCATTTCCTTCAATTTGAGATTCAGTCCAGAAATAACTTCCCCTTTCTTTTTCTCAAACACCCTCAGTTCATTCATGAGAGCCCCAATTTGCTGCCTTAGCTTCTTCCTTTCATTGAGCCAACATTGCTCCTGTGCAGCGAAGATTCCCACAACTTTCTCGTTCGCTTTGGCATCTTCGTGTCTCATCCTCTTCAAATGTTCAAGTTCTCTCTCAGCAACCCTGAGTTTGTCGTATATATCGCACTCTCCACCATTTGAACCTTCCTTCTGAGCTTTCCACACCAGCAATCCCAAGAGTTTGGCACTTCCTCGAAGCATGTTATCACGAATTTCAGACCATCTTTCAATTTCAACGCTCGGATTTGAGAGGGCTTGGAGGGCCAGAAATGCACAAGATACTCCAAAATACATCGGGTACATGTTATCAGAATCAGCCTTCGTCTCAGATCCAGACATATCAAGACCCGCAAGTTCCCTCTCACCCATTTCTAGAGATTTGTTTCTTCGCCTCTGCAAGGAAATCAAAGTCCCAGAACATTTCAGAAAATCTTGCGGTACCGAATTTTCATCATTAAGCCACTCTGTTAAGCACAGATCGTTGATGAATGATTCAATAATTGGGGAAACAAATATGCCTAGTACAATAATTGAGAAACAACAGAACCCAAGTAATAATAACAATAATGAGTGATTCAAGACCCAGAAAAAAATGATGAGTGATTAAAGCAATAGTTCTGTCATTGAACATTCAAGAACTTACAGTAACTCTTGGGCATCTCACATCCAGAGAACATTTCAATGGAGGTTTTGACACCACCAGTCACACCAAACAGCAGAATCCATGTGTGTGATGTGAAAGTCAGGGTTTATAGAAGCGCGAAAAGATTGGGGTATTCCACGTGCGAGAGTGCATGTTCAAGAGAGGAAAAGTGTGCTTTCTAACGGAATAGAAGAAAAGCTACGAACTTTGTTCCCTGGTTTTCAGTGAGAGAATGGCCTACCAGCCCCTACAATCCTCTCTTTCCTTCTTTTTAATCATTTCCCATTCTCCTTCTTCTGCTTCTTCTTCTTCTTCGCCTACCACCAACTCCTTTCGTTTTTTTATTTTTCACTGTGTCATCATATTCATAACAAGTTTTTAGGAAGCAAAATTACAAGATTCCTGGCGGTTTGTCACCATTACTGACAATATAAAGTACTTGAGCTGAACAACAAAAAGAATAAAAAAAATATCTGGGGTTAATTGGGATATAGAAAATGCAAATAGCTCTCCTTTGCTTACCTGTATATACGACCACTTGCAATGACTGACATTTAATAAATTAATTCCTTTCACATCCGGACAGCTGACATGCATTTTTCAGTGATATATTTTAAAGTTATTTATCATGTTAATTGCTGAAAATTGTTAAGGTGTATAGGTACGATGTAGTTGGGATTGTTTGGCTTAATCCACTAATGTACCACAATTAATAATAATAAAAAAAAAATTTATATACTTAACGTTATATATTTAAAATGTTTGTTTTCAATTAAATTAAGATATATGTACTTATTATAAGTTATTTATTTCATAATAAATTCTTAATATTAATATTACTAACATATTAGAATTTATGTGTCTTGATTTGCTTGGATGAAAGTATATTAATTATATAAGGGTAAGTATGTAAATCTTGCCCTAATAATAACAATAATATGATGTAAGCTTGTATAATAATGCTGTAATTTTTCAAGTCCAAAATATAAGTAGTTTTTTGAAAAAACAATCTGCATACAATAAAACACTCATTTCCATAAAAATACATATTTTTTTTTATTTTTAATCTCAATTACCAATACATTTTATGATGAGTGAGAGATACATTTATATAAATATTTAGATTAATAAATGCAAGGGGTAAAATAATTTTTTTTTTAGATGTCCTATATTGCTTTTGTTTTAAATCACTAAGGGAAAGTGTTTATATTTTGAATGGAAGGAGTATAACTCAATCAGGTTTTGAAAGGTAGGATTAGATTTAATTAAATTAAGGTTTACTATGTTTATGTAATAAAGGTTTCATGTTTGTGTTTATATTAGGGAAAATCATGTATAAAAGATTTCACTAATATTTTCCATTGGCACGGTGGAATATGGGATAATGAACTGGAAATAAGAGTAAGAATGAGTGAGAATGATTTATTATTACCTTATGTGGTGTATGACAGTGGCATTCAGTGACTCATTACCTCGGTTGAGGTAATTCCCATTTCATTGCTGAATCATGGGAAGAGGTCCATTTCATAGGTATGAGTTTTTGAAAGACTGAATTGTCCTTGTGACAATTTTCAAATTCCTATTTTACCATAAACGAAAATCCCTATCCGTCGTGTTTTGTTGTCAAATCTGGGTTCGAAATTTCGACGACCTTCACCTCCTTACCATCAGACCTTCTTTTGCTCACCCTTCGCGGTCTCACCATCAATCTTCGTCATCTAACCCTCTGCTTTGCCGTCGATCTTATTTGTTCACCTTCCTCTTTCATGGGATCTGGTTTTGGATATTTGTTATTTGTTGATCTATTGCGATTTTTTTTTTTTAATTGAAGTTGTAAAGCTGGGTTTATTTTCAGTTTTTGAATCACATGGGTTTATGTTAGGTTTACATGAATCATCTGGACCTGGTTCAAGTTCGATGATCTCAAAGCTTTTGATTTTTGGAATTCCTGAGCCTGTTGTATTTGATTCTTTTCGTTAGAATTTAAACGTGGAATATGTGATTTCTATTCTTTTGGAATTTCTTTTGCCATCGAATTTAAATATAGCTCGAGTTTTATTTGCTGGATTTGTTGTATTCCAATGAGGAAGAAGTTGGAGGAGGAAGATGATGGTGGTGGGTATTCAGAGGTATTTTAGAATTTTTACTATTATAATTACTTGTATAAAATAAAAATTATATATTCATTCAATCCCCATACCAAATATATTTTTTAAACTCACTCACATTCCCTTTTCTATTTTTATTTCCATTTTTATTTTTATTCTCATTTTATTAAAAGTCATTCCACCATTTTAAATTGGGCCATTGATTTGTAAGGAAATTGGCTAACTCATTTAATCCTATTTATTTTATCATTTACATTACTTAAACATAAAGGAATTAAGTTTAGATGTGTTATAGTCTCGAAAAAAATTATGGTTTGACGATGTGGATGTGAATATATATATATGAATGTGTTATTTTATCATTTACATTACTTAAACATAAAGGAATTAAGTTTAGATGTGTTATAGTCTCGAGAAAAATTAAGGTTTGACGATATGGATGTGAATATATAATATATGTAAATTTACATGGATTAAATTTAAATTCAAATTTATGGGGAAAAATGGTATAAGTTGTAAATTTAAGTTCTCCCAAGAGGGGCCCGGGGGTGGGATGCTGAAGTGTCGTCATTTGAGTGGAGGGTCCATGTAAGTGCCGTGCTCCCTTCCACATCCAACACGGGAAGCGCCTTGATCCCGGTTGCGTTGCGCTTTGCGGCTTTGAATTCCCGTGCGTTGAATGAACCATTCTCGATCTTTTTCTAGAATTTATCATCTCTGCCACCCCCCAATAAATTGTAGCTTCCAATTTGCGCCAAGAACCTCTCAAGTTGAAAGCTTCAATTTGTCATCGCTGGAAATCTAAAGGGAATCGTAAGTTTTGAACATCCATTCCTGGGTTTTCTCTCTGTTCGATTCATTCGGTGATGGGTGAATACATCATGGAGGACCTTCCGTTGCCGGCTCTCTTTGAGCAAGCTCGGAAGATCCATACGACTGTGACGGAGTCTGGGGCGGACCAGGTATGTCTTTGCGCTCGTTTGATTCTTCGTCTCACTGCTTAGTTGGGCTTGCGCTTAATTTTCTTCGGAGATGCTAATTTTTATGGGTTTTGTTCAGGAGCTCGTGAGGAAGGGATGCGAGGCTCTGGAGAAGTGTGAGGATATGATAAATAAGCTGGGTCTATTCTCAGCAAACGAGACCAAAGATGATATCAGTACAACGAACCTCAAGTATTCTCTGGTAATTATTGTTCTTCAATTATTATTTTCAATGTAACTGATTAATGGTAATTTGATTAAATCAGCCAAGTAATTGTTTTCTGAATTTTATTTTTCGTCTAAATTAGTGGTCAAATGGTTGCGCTACTTATCTGACATCTAGTGCGTGTGTGTGTTTCCCTCTTGCAATGGATCCTCATGCTTTGTGAATATTTCTTCTCTTCATGTTATTTTGAATATATGTTAACTTTGGGTATGCGCGTCGGGAACATGGAAGAGAGCTAGGAAGAAGGAAACGACAGAGGGATGCTTGCCTGTGTTAACTATTTAGATCTCTATAGTTGTAAACTTACAGGAAACGAACCCCCCGAGCAACAAAGGGAATATTATCATTCTTTTTTTCTTCAGCAGAGAAATGGTATTTCACGCATTCATCCTCGCATTATTTTATACTTATCATTTACCATTGGTTCAATGCAAAATAACAAAAGCAACTTTTTGTAATTAATATTGCATGTGAAAGGAGGTGTAAGATTGACGTCAATTTGGTGTTGTGGAAATAACAATTAGAAATTAGCATGGCATATTTAGGAATCTAATGGTATATAAAAAGTGAGACAAATAATAAGGAGATCGGGCAATGTGTTTTCAACATGATGATATTGAAAGATAACATGTTTTGACTGAGAAATTGTTTGGTCTAAAGCCAAATTGAAGAATCATGCTCCCATGACTGAGGATAGTTTAAATTTTAGGAGCTGCATGCTGCTCTAACCGTCTATTTCATGATTGAAAAGCAAAGGTGATCGGACCCTGAAAATCAAAACATGCATGTTTTAGTTTTAGTGCTATCTGGATATCTTGTTTGAATGATTGCTTCCACCTAGAAAAGAAGGAAGATAAGGTAATGCACGTTATTTTCATACTATATATGACTCTATGTCTCTATGGATATTGAGGGGCTTTTTCTTTTGGAGTGACAGTGCACTAAAAAAGGTCAATTGTAGATTTGGAGTCAGATTAAGTTTATTTAATGTTGGATTTTCCCATCGAATAAATTTCACAATGTGAATGATATTTTACTTGTCTTTCCTCAACACCTTCTGAAAGAAAGCGGAACAATTATTACTGGCAAATCGGAAACAAAACCACATTAGTGATTTATTATTTTTTAATTATGCAATGACTGTAATTTTCAATGGTTATTTAACTGAGCTTCAGGATATGTATGCATGCAGTAAATTTAGACGCATTCGCAACTTAAAAAAAAAATATTATTTCACCATTTTAGGGCCTACCTTTTGATAATTACTGAGGAACTAAGCTTGCAGAGATATTATTTTAGTGCCATCAGTGATTTTATTTTATTAACTTGTCAAGAAAACTCCCTCAGGTGCCGTTTTATCTTGCTGAGTTAACTGAAAAAATAGCTCAGGATGACAGGATACAGATTCTTGTGGCTTCCCAGGCCAAAATAAAGGTTAGTACTCATCCATCAGTGGGACAGCTCATTTGCTTGATTTGAATTGTTATTATTATTAGACATGTTCTGATATACACTTTTTAATTGTTACCGTTCATTCAAATGTAATTTAAGAGGGCCTTTTGTAGGAATTTATCTCATTTTGTGAGGCAATGGAGCTTGTACCTGAAGAGGAGTTAGAATCTTATATTCAAGGGGCGCCAAAATCTGTTGCAGATCAAAGGGCTAGAAAGGTTCCTTTTATTTCCATTTTATTTTTTAAAAAATTATTCATAAAGGTCAGACATTGCAAGTTTGCATCTAAACCTTCTATATCCAGGAAATGGAAATGGGACCAGCAAATTTTAAATGAAGTACTTTGTGTTATGAGAATAAGAGCTTACAATTAATTGTTGATTATTTTGGAGCCTATTTTGTAGATTGCTCGATTTAAACGTCAAAGAGCTGCAGAGTCTAAGTTGTTGGAGATAAAGGAACGAAAGGAGCGACGTGGGCGTTCTACAAAAGCAGCTGCATTGTCCACTCCTGTTGAGGCAGGGGAGGAAGAAGTACTGGATGATGATGGAGAAGAGGAAAGAGAGGTTTGCATCTTGATCCTTTATAAGCTATGTGGCAATGCTTCTTATCTTCTGTTACTCTTCCTC